GATGCCGCATGGCCTTACGACGGCCCACCTGTTTGTTCTTGATGATCGGCTGTTCTTGGTAGGTGGGGTGGAGAGGCTCGGGGTGCTGGAGCGGGTGGTGGTGTGGCAGTTGGACAACAATGAAGCAGTGGGATGGGTGGAGGTAGCCACAATGCCGCCGGAGGTGTTCGATGAGTTGGTGGCTGGTAGGCATGGTAGTTTCTGGCACTTTCAGGCTGCGGACAGAATGGGGACTCTTTGTCTGTACAATGCTTTAGATGGGAGGCTGGTGATGTTTGATGCGGTGGATTGTGTATGGACGATGATGCCACGAGTGTCTGGGTTAGGAGCCGGGGAGAGCCAAATGTGGTTTGGGCATGTCTTGGAGCCAGGCGTCGACCTATTGCTGGGACAACGCAGCCTGTGTTCATGAGGTTGTTTTCTTGGCCTTCATGTATTGGTGCAATTCTGAAGCTTCAAATCATGTTCCCTGAACCGTGTACCTATGGTTGTTTGTAAGTAGGAATAACTGGTTCTGTTAGCTGTTTGCTCCAAAAATAAAGCAACCCTGTCCTTGTATGTGGCATAATGCTTCAAGCATCCCAAGTTGTATCATGAAAGAATATCAATGATGAAAACTTTGATAAACCAAAAGGGCTAGATTTCCCTTTTCTGTTTGTCTGTGGGATGAATGTCAGTGCAAATTTCTGCATCAATCTTCCCAAAGGTTCTGTGCTGTTTTATTCCTGGTAGCCACACGCTTGAATGGAACCTTTCTTTTTACATGTACCTCAGTGTTATTTCTTTTACTTATTAGTAACCGTTTCTGTTTCCACAGGAAATATCTAACTTCAAGATTCAAAGCCATCATGTGAGTCAAGGCTGTTGTATCACATAAGCTCAAAATTTCCCAATAATTTTATGTGCAGTTTTCTTTTGGGGGGGTGGGGGTGGGTGGGGGGGGGGTGATTTTTGCTACTGTTTGTCAGTTAGCATTTGTCAAAGCCCCTCAACATTAGGTGGCACATCATAATTACTGTCGAAGTGTCTGTCACTGTCATTCATACTGCAAACAAGTAACTCAACCATGTCAAGCCTTGGCAAAATAGTTACCTAGTTTCTTCATGTATTTTTGCTGATGTCTGTTATTGATGCTATGGAGCTCTATATAATGGGCCATTTAGTCATTCCCTTGTGGAAAGCATCCTAAGTTCTAATATGACATTGAATTATCGATCATGCTTATCAGTGTTTTCTATCTTGCCAGAAGGCATGGATAAAAAGATTGTGATGCAGTGACAGGCTTATAATTGATGCCCAGTCTGATTTGTTTGCTCATTGGCCTGCAGAGCTATCTCGGTTCTTTTGGGTCAAGTGTCAATGTATTATGTCTTCCGATATTGAATAGGAGTTGGCAGTCTACTGGAGCATAGGCTGAAGAGTTGGGGAGCAGGATTGGGTGTGGGAGGCAAAGAGAAGGCTTCCGGCCTGTCGAGTCCTCCTCTCTGGTGCCCACCGTGGCCTTGTAGAAGCTGCCCCAAAGAAGCGAGGGTTTCGATTCGGCTGGATGTGAGCCTTATCATGCCTTATTTCACCATGGATGGCATTGTATCTTGTACACATACAGTTTATCTAAAAATGTACTTTTGCTAAGCTATTTCGTGTAGGCAGCCTAACCTTTTTATGTTCTCACAATGGAAGATTATGTTTTCATTGTAAAACTACTTTACAATCAAGAGAGAAGACTACTTAGTTCTAATCTTCAAAAGAAGACTACTGGCCCCCAAGCCCCAAGCTTGTTTAAGCAGAGATAGAAGATTATGCTGATCTGCCGGCTCTTATTCAATGAGGGGGTACATGCTATGGAAATATTGAGCACCCATGGTGGAGCTTGGATTTGGGACTGGGAGCATGTACCTTTTTTGTCTGAGAGGAGGCCAAAATTTATGTCTTGATTGGATTTGAAGTAAGCTCATCTGAGCTTATTTATACACAGATTTAGGCTCAACAGTATTTTGATCCTCATGTTTGTGACCAAATTAGCTCTCCCATGACAGGTGTTCCCTAGTTTAACCACCAAATATTTCTGGCCGGTGAATTTGCTTTACTTATCACTGTTTTTTGTTAGGCGTTGGTGCATTTTTATGCCACTATCCTTCCTTTTTGTCCTTGTCAATATTTTATTTTATCCGTTTCATAAGCTTTTGGTGCAAAGGCAATCATTATCTCTTGCCGTTCAATTCCCCACTTCCTTGCACAAAAATTAATCTGTGACAACCCCAACTGTTAACTCCACATGCAAGCAAAGAAATATGGTCCATACCTACTTCAGTCAACATGGCCAAGCCAGTGCCAGAGGCATAAAGACAGAGACTTTTAAATCTGCCTTGGTTTCAGATCTTGGAGAACTAACACAGTGGGCTGCCCGGGGATTGATGACCTGCTGCTGATCATGGGCTAGACTTGGTGTTGTTTCAGCTGGTAGCTGGCCTTTTTTGATGACTAGACTAGAAGGTACGCATGTTCAGCCTGTTCATTACCAATATCTTGAAGACGATATTGTTGTTTTATCAGTTTTCCTTTTGGGAAGCTAGTCAATCTGTCTAGTTGTTGTGCATTTGCTCGCATCTGCCTTCTCTCTGTTGTATTGGTTTGACACTGTTGAAGAAAGATGTGTCTAACATATCATGCTGTGCAGGAACCGCCGGAGTGAATCTTCAGCTGGCATACCATGTTGAAGAAAGATGTGTCTAACATATCATGCTGTGCAGGAACCGCCGGAGTGAATCTTCAGCTGGCATACCATGTATAGGGTCGACTAAAATAGAAGCGCAACCCTTGTGGTAAAGAATAGAATATTTTTTAACTTTGGCCGTCAGATGAGTTTATAAAGGAGCAGTGCCATGCATCCGACATTTTTCTATCCGACGCTTGTCTGGGTTAGTTAATCACCATAGGATCTAATTGCCAGTTTTTTTCTTTTTCTTTTTTTGCAGGAAAGGATCTAGTAATTGCCAGTTGAACAATGATCTAAGGTTCACATCGTCGTACATAACCAGAAGGTATGGTACGTAAAGCAATTCCGTTTATAAAGGGTACCCCTTTCCTGTGATAAAATCTTGCAAGTTCAACAAAACACAAGTAATCCATGCTCATCTTTATTTGCAATATTTCGAACAGTCGTGTTGATGATGTAATTATCATTTGCAGTCAATAAAGATAGTCATGATGGCCTTCCCTGAAAAAAGCGGTTACATGATGAGTTTCATCCACTAGTGTTTCTTTGTGTAGCGATGAACGAAACAAGTTCGCCTAAAGTAAGAAATAAAACATGTATCTGTCGGAAAAGAAATGAAACAAGTACTTCCTCCGTTCACAAATATAAAATGTTTTAGATTTGAATATAGACTACATGCGAACTGAAATGAGTGAACAAATACACAAAAATGTGTATGTATACATCCGATTCACAAAAAGGTTAGAACATCTTATATTTGTGAAATAAAGATGGGGGAAGAAAATGTCATCTTTCTTTGGCCGGCCAAATTGCACCCTGGCCTTCACGTCACCTCCGTGATCTAAGCTTGATGGTTTGGCTGTGCGGCAACAGGTCACTAGCTAGTGTCACCTCCTTTGAAGCTCATGGTTCGTGCCAAATGGCACATGCCCATCTAACTTAATTATCCACTGATTTGCTGATGGAACCTCGTACTTAGCAGTCCGGGTCAAGATTTAAAAGTGCGATTTCGTCCACACATGTGTGTAGTTTAAACAAGTCTGTCCCATTTAGAAACAAAACGGCAATCAAATTATCTCCTGCAAACGTATGAGATATGGCGCTTGACCTTGACATTGTCTGTGACTGCCGGCCGGCGAGTGGAATGCTTTGTTTTGGCTATCAATTAACTTTTTTCCTGTGTGTGTCACTATCACACTATGGAAAACAATGTAGCGTAAGTGAAGAACTGAAGATATATAAGAACATAACATGAGTATACACTGACCAGCAAAGTAAACACAAATGAAGCCATTAGCCATGTCTCCCTCTTTTTCCAGCCACCGCCGCCGTGCCCCACTGCTTGTGCTCTTGCTGCTCCAAGCTCATCTGCTTCTAGTTGTAGCCAACAGACTCACAATTGCATCGACTTTCAGGCCCCCAGATAACATCACATGCTCGTCCGGGGACTACGCCTTCGGGTTCCGCGCCCTTGACGCTGACCCTAGCCGGTTCCTCCTTGCCGTCTGGTTCTACTTCAACCTCACCGAGGGAGCCAGCCCTGCGGAGCACAAGGTGGTCTGGTACGCGAAAGACCCAGTCTCAGGCTCGGCAGTCACGGCCACGGCACTATCCATGCTTACCATCAAAGATGGTATGCTCTCCCTAGCCGCTGACACCGGCAACATCTGGAGGAACCCCAACCCTGGCATGTGGGGCACTGACCTCGTGCTCCAGGACTCAGGCAACCTCCAGTTCCTCACCTCCCCGGGCACAACTGTCGTGTGGGAGAGCTTTCAGGATCCGACCGATACGCTCCTCCCGGGGCAGTACATGGGCGCTGGAGTTGCCCTTTACTCCAAGCTCTCGGACACAGACTTCCTGTCTCGTGGCCGCTTCAGCCTGAACGTGCAGACTGACGGTCACCTTGTCTTCCACCTCCTGAACCATGCCGCTGGCAATCTGGCTCAGGACTTAGACAACATATACTGGGCGAGCGGCACATACAAGACTGGGGAGGACGGCAACACGACTCTTTTCTTCGACTCGCCGGGGCATCTCTACTACCAAATCAAGGACGGCACGGTGCATGACGCGATACCTCCACTTCTAAACTCCACCATTAGTTACCACCAGCACGCATCGCTCGATCCAGACGGCATCGTCCGCGTCTACACCAGGCCGAAGAATACCACCGGGGGAAGCAGCAAAGTGTTGTGGGCAGTCAGAGGACAGTTCCCAACCGAAGGTTGCACGAGGAAAACCACTTTGCAAGGTTTGTGTGGCCCCAACTCGTACTGTGTGTATGGTCCTAACAACCGGCTGGATTGTGAGTGCCCAAGCGGCTACTCCTATGTCAATTCTCAGCTCAGGTACATGGGCTGCACACGGGTTCATGCCGCAAAGCTGTGACGGGAAGAACTACTCCGCCGAGTTTGAGGTTGTCAAGCTCCCAAACACCACTTGGACAAACTCGCCATACGAAAGACTTATGCACATCAGAGAGGACGAGTGTGCAGACTACTGCTTGGACGACTGCCTCTGTGTCGCTGCTACTTATGATGGAACTTACTGTAGCAAGATGGTGTCGCTGGCAGGTATCGGACGCCGTGGAGATGACATCGCCATGAAGGCGTTGATCAAGGTGCGGACGAGCAGCCCCTCGTTGCCGGTGCCACCAAGAAGGATATTGCCTTATGCACTATTCGGTGGCTCGGCATTCCTGTTGCTGCTGTCCGGGGTAAGTAGTCTCATGTTACATTGCTACCTTAGGAAGAAGAATACCAACCATGACTTTGTTAGGGCTTACACCACAAAAGAGCTTTACAAAGCCACCAATGGCTTTCGTAAGTTGCTAGGCAGAGGAGGCTTTGGCGAGGTCTACCATGGGGTGTTGAAGTCGCTACATTCCCCCGACATAGCAGTGAAGAAGCTCATCAGTTCCAATGATTACAGTGAGAGGGAGTTCGCGAATGAGGTACAGTCCATCGGCCAGATCCACCATAGGAACCTAGTCCGCATGGTTGGTTACTGCAAAGAGAAGGAGCAACGGATGTTGGTGTTCGAGTTCATGCCAGGTGGTTCCCTTCGGAGCTTCCTATTCCAGCCTCAGCAGCAACCGATGTGGAGTTGGCGCGCTGAGGCAGCCCTTGGCATCGCCAAGGGCCTGGAGTACTTACATGAAGGATGCAATTATCCAATCATCCACTGTGACATCAAGCCCGACAATATATTGTTAGATAGCAAGAAAAATCCGAAGATTACTGACTTTGGGATTGCCAGGCTTCTTAGTGACCAGCAGATGCACACCACTGTGACCAACATCAGGGGCACAAGGGGGTATATTGCTCCCGAGTGGTTCCAAAGCGACAGGCGCATCGACACCAAGGTTGATGTGTACAGCTTCGGTGTTGTGCTACTAGAGATGATATGCTGCCGAAAGTCCCAGGAGCCAGTGCCTGGTCAGGATGGTGACGACTCGGTCATGCTATTCGAGTGGGCTGGTCAGTTGATTGCTGATGGCAGGACCGAGGTTCTGTTTCATAGTGATGACGATGCCATTGAGGATTTGGTCAGAGTGGAGAGGTTCTTGCGTGTTGCTCTCTGGTGCATTGAGCAGAATCCTTCGCTCCGCCCGACAATGCACCAGGTGGTGCAGATGCTGGAGGGTGTTGTTGAGGTCGACACTCTACCTGCTCCTACAAGCTCCAACTGTTCATCGCCGTTCGCCTCTTCAGTCGACGAGAGCCCTCTGTTGTCAGCTGCTGCTACTCTCGCGATAGAGTGATTCTTACTGTACTAGTCAATTCTGATAGGCTGCAGTGTCGAAATGAGTTTCTTTACTTATTACCAATGCTAATTGTTTCGCCGTCTTGTAACTGGTGTAGCTACGTTTCTGTAAACAGGACATCAGTCATGCATTCTAGCTACATACATGTCTTCTACTCCCTCCGTTCCTAAATACTATAAGTCTTTTAAGAGATTACACTATAGACTACATACGGAGTAAAATGAGTGAACTTATACTCTAAAAGGCGTCTATATACATCCGAGTGTAGTCTCTATAGTGGAATCTCTAAAAAGACTTATATTTAGGAACGGAGGGAGTAGTAAATGTCAGCATATCTTATGTGTTCATCCATTGTGGTCCAGTTATGCAAAATCCTTTGGTTTGAGCACTACAAAAGTTCAATAGTGAGAAGAAACCTCAAACTTTATTCAGATCGAGTCTTGCCTTCGCCTTCAAGAAAAGAAGGGGAGAAGTGTTATCCCAGTTCTAAGCTAAGACTGAAACATCAACCTTAAAAAAAGACTGAAACATCAAGCCTTGATGTTGCCTAGCCAGAAAAGCATGGGGAATTGCGCAAGGATAGAAGAAAGCAGTGGTTCCTGCTAGGATGTCTCTCATAAGTCCTGGGTGCACCTTGCAGAACCCTCTTCATCGTCTTCACCAGGAATACCCCGGTGCAGATACAGAACCATGGCAGAACAGAATAGTATGAGTAGCTCCAGAAGATGTGGACAAGCATCGCAAGTGAGGTACCAGCAAACCCATGCCCAGCATATGCCACCATGTCCAGCAATGGCGATTCACCACTTCCCAGTGAGTACAGACGTACAATAGAGCTTTAATGAGGATGACTTGCATAAACCAACCAAGTAACCCTCTTGTGAACTGTATAGCCAACGATTTCATGTCTGGAGCTTGGAATGACGGGGGTGCGCCCATCTTTCTTCAAGACCAATGTTCTGGCTTGTCCGCAGAGACTTGAAACCACACGATTCCAAAAAGATAATCATTCTTCAAACTTTTTGCAGACAGAACAAAAGGGCCATTGCTAAACTGGTCTAAGCTATTCAAGATAATTACGGGGTTAACGAAGGGAATTGTTTACCTGCATAAGCACTCCATGTTCTGGCTTGTCCACAGAGACTTGAAACCACACAATGTCCTCTTGGATTGTAACATGATCCCAAAGATTGCTGATTTTGTATCAGCTAGAGCATTGAGTTTAGATGTAGCACAAGAGCACACGAGTAGGGTCATGGGAACCAGGTATCAGCTACCTAATATATCAATCATCACAGTTCCCACCATTTTGTCTTCAGATGTTCTAATCTTACAGTTTTGATATCTTTTGTTTCACTTTTCAGTGGTTACAAAGCTCCGGAGTATATGCATCTTGAGGAGTTTACTCGATGAAGACAGATGTGTTCAGCTTTGGCGTTTTGGTTCTGGTGATTATTAGTGGCCGAAAGAATACCATACTCGACAAGCAAGGGGATACTGTTGGTGATCTTGTACGAGATGTGAGTGAACTGAACATATATTCCAAGCAAGATTTCTTATAGTTCACATTCACGAAATGTTTACTTTTGTTGCCAGATTATTTTCCTTCTTTTGCGCTGCAGTTCTCTCATGTCAAGCTTGTTGAAAACTATTTCAGGCCTGGCGTATGTGGAAGGAACAAAGGTTGCATGAGCTTGTGGATCCGTTGTTAGGTGACGGATATGAAGTCGCCGAGATAATGAAATGCGCTCAAGTGGCACTGGTTTGTGCTCAGGAAGATCTAGCATATCGGCCCGCCATGACAAATGTTGCTGCAATGCTGAACTCTGAAAGCATAAGCTTACCGATGGAGCCTAAGCAACCCGGTACGCTGATCCATGGGTGTGCTGACAGAGACACGACATCGACATACGTGGGCCAATCAAGCAGGACGATAGACATAACTATAACGAGCTCTGCTCCAACGTCGACTAGAGTTTGAATTTTGGGCTTTTTTAGGGGTCATGTAGCGTACATATTCGAGATACTGAGACCAATTTCGCAGAGTGAAAATAAACATGTTTCTGTGGTACCAGCTACCAGACTAATTTTCCATGAGCTGCATTGTAGTAGTAATTCAGATATACGATGTTTCATGCTTTGTTGTTACTATTCCAGTTCAGCGAAGTTTACCTGGGATTGCTCATATTTGGGAACATTTATGAACACATTCAACTTGAGAAATGAGAAATCATCAAACTTGTTCAACTTGGCAAGCAGCAACCACAGATCTCACAGTTAAGACGTGTAGATCTGTGGACATGGAGAACACGCTACAAACACATCGGGATCTCAAAATAAGCGCTGTTCAAGATTGAAAAAAAGTTCCTAATGCACCTAAGTTCATAGTTAAACATCTTAACTCTGAACTTAAGTCGCTGGCCCAGACTTAAGATGTTTAACTCTGAATTATGCCTGGGCCGATTCGGATTCATTAGTGCGCGTTTTGGCTATGGCTAAGCCTGGGCCGACTCGGATTCAAATTGCTTGCTCTGTCTCTCCCGCGTCCCTCTTTTCTTGCTCGCCCCGTTTCCCGATCAATCTCTGCCAACGCCGGATCGCGTTCGCTTGATCGTTGCTCTCGCGATCCCACAGCCGCGACCATGGGCGCCACCACGATGCTCCCGCCGTCTCTGCTCCCGCGCCGTAGCGCCGCCGCCGACCTCCACCCCTGCTCTTCCCGCGTCCCCGTAAACCCTGCCTTGATGGCGAATCCCGCCGCTGCCAAGACGCCGAAGCGGCCCATGTCCGTGCGCGACGGGCAGCCGCCGGCGAAGCGCGCACGCGATACCTGCTCCGGGGGCGAGCTCCTCAACGCCGCTGTTGCCGCCAAGATCAACAGCAGCAGCCTTCCGTGTCCCGGCACCAGCAGTAGCGGCGAGGATCCAAGAAGCCCGACGGCGACCAAGAACCCCGTGGCCAGCTCGCCGGAGACCGCGACGCAACCGAGCATGCGCGAACTGATCCAGAACGCCCGCCTCGCCATGGCTCGCGCTGCCGCCCAAGAAGAAGAGGCCGGCCGTCGGTGCGACATCGAGCGCAGCCGGGCAGAGGCCCGGCGGAAGGTGGAGCAGATGGTGGACACCGTGCAGTTCAACGACCCGTGGATCGATCCCTCCGACGTGACCAGGTCCCCCGAGGAGCTACTACAAGCAAGGCAGGAAGCATGGCGTTATCAAGCTCAACTCATTGCCATGGCTCGTCAACGGGACATGCATGAAGGCTGGTGGTAGTCTTACATCAGAGGAAGCAAAGCAGAGGAAGCAGAGTAGGCAGTGGTACTCTTAATTAGCTGAGAAAAGCAGAGGAAGCAAAGTGTGTAATCTAGGAGTAGTTTGCAAGTGTGTAGGAGTATCTCAATGGCATGTTTTCCAGTAGTGCTAGTGAGATTCTTAATTTGGCCACTAGTTACTGTGCATTATGATCACAATGATCAATTAATGCAAGGGTATTGTTTCATGTAAAAGCATTGGATCTGAATCTGATCAGTATGATGTATGCAAGCATCTGCCACTAGATCTCTTTCCATGTTTTCATCTGTTGTATGTTCCCTCCTAATAACAATTTTTTTCTTGAACGAAGAAGATCACTTCTGTGCTTGAACTATTATTCCAAATGGCTGCTAATATGTGTGCTCAGTCTAGAAAAGTTTACACCTCACAATGCAGAATTTATTTTTCGCATTAGGAAGGCGCCAAAAAGCATGTTTGCTGACATCCTGAATCCTGATTTATACCTGCATCATTGTTGCCAATAGCTCATGTGTACTTTCTGCCTGAACTTTGCAACTGCTGCAAATTTCGTTCGGTACAATTGGTGCAATAGCCAGACCAGTTTCCTCTGCTTGGCAGCAATGGTGGTGTTTAAGGGAATTACACTGCACGATACATCATCTGAATTCAAACTACACAGCTTCATTCAAAATCAACTCAACTAGAATGAGAAATGTTGGCAACATCCGCAGCTATTGCAATTCTTCCTCCTCTGTACCTTCAGCGACACCCGCAGCTTCTCACATTTTTATCACGGCACTTTTTTTATATGTCCATCTTTTTGTACAGGAACCCAAGCAGCAAGTATGGGTATCTTTTATTTTCTATGTCTTTTTTTTTTGTACTGGAATCCAAGCAGCAAGTACTGGAATCCCACTCTCTTTTACTTAATTTGCAGCCTACTTCTCAGCTTTCTTTCAGTATTTTTCTGCATCATCCTTGTTCAGTGTTAGATTTTGTAAAATCTCTCCTCCCATAGACTAACCAAAGCAGCTCTCCTCCCATCACTGTATTTATTGGAGTAATTCTCAGGTTTTCAGTTTCTGCATTTCTTTTTTCAGATTTTGCATGTGTCTTCATCAGTCTCTAGTACAAGTAGGTATACATATGCTTTTTTGTGAAGTAATAGAAAGTCACATTCAGTCAACTTTTTTTCAGTCAAGTTTTGAGTTGTCTCAGATCCCATAGAAAAGAGATGTCATCTGATAGGATTTTCACCATTGGGTAGGGTACTGTTTTTTTTCTTTGAAAAAACGAAGGATTGATTCCTATTCTATAGAGGAATAGGATTCCATTCCTATGTACAAAGCAAAGGATTCCAAAAAAATCCTACAAAATTCATGTAAACCAAAGGAGAATTGAGATACATACCATCCCAGTTTATAGTTGTCCTATTACTATGATTGCTACAAAATTCATGTAACCGTGTCTTTGCAATGTTCTTGTAAACCCTGTCTTTGCAATCTTTCAAGTCTGTACGACATGTAAGAAATGTTTTTCAAATTATCCAACGAACAAAGGAGGCTTAAGAAACACAAAATAAAACATGTTATATGTGCTAAGACGGCCATTTTGCAGACCGAGCTTGCAAATGGGGGAACCGGATCCTCTAACATCCTCAAGGGATGTCACGTAAGCTACAGTAAATGTGACATTCCTTCTTCACATTCATATGGTTAAGCCTAAAATGATTATAATTAATTTGCAAATTACAAATCTACTGTATACATTTACAAAAATTACATACAAACAAAATTATGATGCAATAAAATTATTTTTTGATTTATTTTTGCATATGCTACAGTAAATCCGCACAGTAGTTGCTACGGTAACCCTGACATCCCTTCTTCCCTTTACATACGCATTTCACTATAGCTTTGTGACATCCCTTGAGGATGTTAGAGGATCCACTTCCGCAAATGGGACGATATATTCAGTGAATAATAACACATTTACAAAAGATGAAACTAATTATTTGGGATTTCGCTGGCTGGAGATTTTAGTGGTAAAAGTGTTGTTGTTTTTAGTACAAATCCTCTGTGACTGTGTTTTTTTTAATGTATTTATTCTTTTTCCTGCATTTCGCAGACTGTCCCATGCAATGTTAGCCTAGAGTTCAGCAGAATCACAAACGCAACTTTGATTTTTGACGCAAAGAGGGGAGAAATTTTCATTTTGCAAACCGAGCTTGCAAATGTGAGGATATATTCAGTGAACAACACATTACAAAAGATGAAACTTATGAGAAAAATCTGGATTCTCAGCCCAAATCATAGTAGCATTTCCAGCACAATTAAGCCGTACAAGTAACTTAACTAATTACATCCAGAATGCAGTTGGTCTCTTGTATAGTTCATTCATCTCATGAGCGTCTGTCATCTCATAGGCGTGCGCCCTTCGCCTGGTAGCTCTCAGCTCTCCATCTTTATCGTACCCGAGACTGAACGTAGTGATATGGTACACACGGTGGGCCGCGTACTCATCCTCGTCCTGGTCATCGGCCGAGACACACTCGAGCAGGCAGTAGCTGCCGTCCCCCATGAAGAGGAGCGTGGCGCCTAGGTGCCTCTTGCGGTCCGCGTGGAACAGCCGGTCCTTCCCCAGCTTCCACGCCGGCATGGTCTGGAGGACACCGGCGGCGACGGCGGGCACGGCGTCGCAGGAGCAGACATGGCCGAAGCCGCCCTCATGGATGCAGAGCCCCACCCAGGCATCCAGGTGCTGATCAAAATAGGCTTCGCCGCTGAAAGGCATGGCCCAGTTGCCCTGGCACGTCCACTCGAGGCTCCTCGTGTCCAGCGAGAAGGTTCTCCGCCTGGCGGAGACGAAAAGCGTCCGCCCGTCCGGGTGCACGGCCAACGATTTGACGTCTGGTGACTGGAACGACGGGAGGTGCGCCGGCAAGAAGGTCCAGGCCCATGTCT